GTGTGCGTCTCCGCAGCGGTCAGCGAGGGTCTGGGGACACACGGGCACTGATGTCCCGTGCTCTGTAATTCCCAGGGGATTCTGATTATCGACCCGCAACGTTCCCTGAGACCCGTGAACCTGCCGAGGGGAAAGAGAAGAGTGTTTTTGAAGTTACCACACTTTGGATCTTACCCACCTGGCTAGTCTATAGAAACCCTGGTTTGTACAACCCAGTGAAAAAGCAGCTTCTAAGCCCTGGGGTTCCCAGGGAGAGACCTGCTCACCTGGGCCAGACACAACAGGGAACACCAACGTGCTGCAGGTCAGTGGCTCCCACTTCTCTGACACCTCCACTTATTTTTTCCCCACCTGAGCAGAGCTGCTTTTTTTAGTATTTAACAAATACAACTCCCCAAATCCAGCCCATGCACCTGTTATAAATCATGACTTTGGGAGTTTACAGGCTCTTTGTCTCTGAGTTTACACTTCTCGTTTAATATCCTTATCTCATGGCTTGTTATGCACCTAGAAACACCCTGGCAAGGCAACGAATGAACTCTGTGACCACATTCCAGCCTCAGGAGAGCAGGCACCAGTTCCTGCCCTGCCATGGCTGCATGCAGCTGAGAACCCCAAGGGAACACATGTAAACAGAGGGAAAACTGGGGCAAGAAAAGAGAAAGTGGATTGCAGGTGAGACAAGGACCTGCAGCCCCTGCAGCCACAGCACAGAGGTGTTTGGTGGGAGGTGCTGGGAGGGGCTGCACGGGCACAACACACGTTGCCCCTCCACGAGCTGGTGCAGGGGGAGCTGGTGCTGGCCTGAGGTGTCACCACAGGCTGTGCTGAGCAGGCAGAACGCACCTCTAGTCTCTGATCACAGCTTTTAGTGCAGTGCTGACTGACGTCCAAAGTGACAATTGCTCTGCTAGGGAATTTCATGCTGACTGCTACAGTGTCTGCATCCTGCAAGGAGGCCACACCTGAGTGACAAAAAAGGCACTCGTTCACACCAGAACAGCACACCAGCAAGTACCACCACTACAAAGTGCTCTCCTGCCTGCAAGAGGTGGCCCTGGCTCCAGGACCCCTTCAGAGAGGAACCGGGGGCCCCACAAAGCACTTTCTGCCACGTGCACCAGCTGCTTTGCCTTCAGCAGCACCTCTGGTGCAGAACCAGCAGCTCTGCAGCCCCAGGGCCTGCAATTCCCCCTCCCCAGCCCGGGGCTCTCCCTGCTGAAATATCCTTTTCCAACCACACTTGCCTTTTCAGCTTATTACAGCCAAGCTCAGGCAACTTCCAGCACGTAGCCAGAACCAGGCAGATGGTACAAAACCCTCCCCAAGGTGTCTTGTTTGCTGCATTTCAGTGCTTCACCCTGTGTGCTGCACCTTCTAACAGCACGTCAAGGGTGGTGGCAGCTGCAATTACCTTAATTAAAACTTTGCATTTCCATTTACAAAACGGCAGCTTCCAGGGTTATGGTTAGTTTAAATTAGTCTGGTAACCCAGAGCTCGACACAATCCAGAGTAAGTTCAGATCTTTAACTGTGCTGAGATCAAGAAGCAAGCACCAGAGAAAGCAAAGAGCTGGAACAGGCTGCACTGGCACTGCTGTAAGTGGCAAGTTTTGCTGATTATTTTCTGCCCCCTGGTTTTCCAATAGCAAACCTGATATCCCCCAGTTGCCACATGGAGTAGAGGTCAGTGATGCCTCCAGGCAAGTGCTTCACATCCACAGGGAACTGACAACATTCAGGAACCATCCCCAAAAACCCTGTCTACAGCTTCTTGAGAACCTTGCCTTCTATTTCTCTAGACCATTTTTTCAACTGTTCTGTGATGGAACAAGTATGTCATGGCTGCCGTGCCCTTGTACACGTTTCCTCCCCAGTTCTCCTGCTGAGGTGCATAATAAACCATCAAAAGATTAATTCTTACCTGCACAGAATGCATGGCCCAGTGAAAATATTGTATCTGGTGCACTCTCTCCCAGCAACAAACTGACAGCATCTATGTCGTGCACAGCAGCATTATAAAAAATTCCACCTAGAAGCAGCAAAACTGGGCATGAAGGTCTGCAGAGTCAGTGCACACTCCTGAACTGCACTGACATTGATCTCACAAACCCCCTGCACCAAAGAAAGTAACACCAGAAGCAAAGAGAAAAACGTGACCAAAATAAAGACTGGTCAAGGGAACAACCCCAAGCAGGTGAAGCTACACAAAGAGAGGGGAACTTCCCGCCAGAAGACAGAGCGAGACACGTTTCCAATCCTTTTAAGAACAAACTTTTCCGAGGAAGCTGCTCCCACGCAAGCAGGTGAAGCTACACAAAGAGAGGGGACTTTCCACCAGAAGACAGAGCAAGACACGTTTCCAATCCTTTTGAGAACAAACTTTTCCGAGGAAGCTGCTCCCACCTGAGGTTTTCAGGCAGCCCAGGGAGGGTGCTGGGTAGATGCTGCTGACGGCAGAGACGCGGTGGATCCTCCCCAGGGCTCTGCTCTCCCGCACCTTCCCGCACAGGAACCGCAGCGCGGGGTCGAAGCGCCTTCAGACAGAGAGAAGGAAGAGCCTTGGGAGCAGGAGGAGGTCACCCGGGATGCTGTGGTGCACAGGCATGAAAAGGAACTCCCTGACCTGCCTGACCTGGGCTGTAGGTGCGTGAAAACCTTAAGCAAAAAGTGTCCTAGAACCACAAAGAAACCACCTCAGAGAATGACCCAGCCCTGTCAGTATTTCCTGCCCTGAAGCTCCAGCCAGCTCGAGGGTTTGCAGAACCTCAGGAGCACTGCAGGGATGTGGACCCCACCAAAACATGGAGCTTTCACACCCTGAGAGCTTCATCTTTGGAGTTCCTCTAGCATCCAATCCAGTGAACACTCATGTTAACCTGATGACAGCTGGGGTTTATCTCCATTAAGCATGATGAACTAATCCAATCCAACCAACTCCCAGAAAACCAGTGTTAACGAGCAGCAGTGAAACCAAGTTCATTTGAGGACAAAGGAGGGGAAGCCTGAGGAACTGATGCTACTTTCAGACATGCACTGCTCATCACGTACAAATCAGAAGAAAAATGCTGGTCTTACTTGTAGAATCCACACACCAGTGGTCTGCCACACCTGTCAGCTTCATCAAAACAAGCTTCTGCCACCTGCCTGTCAACACTGGGCAGCCCCTCACAAAACACACCTTTTCCTGTGCAAAACAGCACGGAACACAGGATTAAAGGCAGGACAAACCCAACGTTTTTATCTTGCAACAGCACATACATCTCATTACACCCTAGAGAACAGGTTTCATTAAACTGAAGTATGGCTTCTTTGTTTGCTGATGCCACTGACTCTCTCTCTGGCCTCCAGGTGTGGGTTTTACTTGTTTCAGACCCCAAGGAGTGTGACTGTTCTGACAGCCAGCTTTCCTTTGAGCCCTGTTGGTATTTCTAGGACTAGACATCCCACCTGGCTGTACTGGAACCAGCAAACTCCACTGGTACTAAGGCATTAACATCAGTTACTGCTGGACTAGTTTATCTTTAATCCCACAATCAGATAGAGCCTGCACAACTCAGGGACACTGCTGCAAGAAGCAGCACTCACATCTGAAGAGCTCAGCAAGCACAGCTCTGCCCCAACACGTGCTGCTGACCACAGGGCAGAGCTGACTCTGCAGCTGCTCCTACCTGCTGTAAAGCCTCTATCACCATCGCAGAGGCTTCTTCAGGTGGTGAGCAAATAATGGCTCCAGAGACCCTGCAGAATTCCAAAGAAAGTTCTTTGTGAAGACAAGGTTTTTACTAGAATGAGGAAGATAAGGACTTTTCACACTTAACAGAACTGCCTGCAACTAAACCCCTCTGAGTTCCCATCACTTCTGGGCACGTGAGCCAAGTGGGGCCTCTCGGGGGCTCCTGCAGCACCCGGGGGGATGATGTGCTGGGTGAGGCTCAGCCCCACGGCCCCCGGGCCCCCTTCCCGGGCTGGGCTCCGGGTCCAACTGGGTGGGCGGGTCTTTCCAGAGGGGGCAGAGCCTGGCGGGGG